TGTGTCGCAGTATGGGCTCCGTGGTTTCCTTTTCAGCAAGCGGCCTCCTACTTGGTGTGTCTTTTTCTTTCTGGAAGTTGAATTTTGCTATTGTTTCCCGAAAGTGCTTTTTATCATCTGAAAGTATAGGAAGTTAAACATAGCTGAATATGCATGAAGAGGTTAAAAAGAGTGGCTCCCCCTGCAGGATTCCGGCCATCCTCTTACCCTTGAGTGACAAGGATGAGGCAGTCTTCTCGGCCATCTGTCATTCTGTTGAGGTGACGCTGGCTAAGCGTGGCCAGGCTTCAACGTGTACGGGTGTTTGGAGCGTAGACTTCAGCCAGTAAAACAAAATGGGCCAGCCAAGCTTCCCCTGCAGCCACGGCACAGAACGTTGCCTTCCACCCTCGAGCTGCCGTCTCGCGTCCTGTTAGTAGAAACCTCTGTAAGCTACACTCCTGGAAATAGAGTTTTTCTTGGGATGGTTTAGTCATTTGTTGGCGAGTTCGTTTGTTCGCTTGTTCTTTCATTCACAGAATATTACGCACGTTTTTCCCGGGAACATGCTAGACTTTGAGAGGACAAAGACGAGTTCCTGTCCTCCTGGGGCTCACGGTCGAAGCGCAGGAGACACACGCCACACCTCTGAATCGTTTTGAAAGTGTGATCCATTATAGACAAGCTCATGTGTTGTCGAACCCTCAACTCCCAGGTGGATTTAATTATTTTAGTGGCCCCGGAGCACGGGTGGGGAGCAAAGATGGAGTCCTCCCTGGAGCCCTGCAGAAGTTTCCCGGGTGTGACCTTGTCTGTCCCTACACACCATGCTGAGTCCATCCCAGGGCGGGCCTGAGGCTGGCCCATCCGCTCCCCTTGCTCCCCACATCCTTCTTTCACCCCGCTCTGCATGCTGGGTCACCTCACGTCCTCCTCCTCACTCCCACTGCGGTGTTTCTGACCTGTCAGCGATCACCCAAGCCTTCGGTCGCCGCTTTGATCTGCTGCTCCGGCACCCGTGTTGCCCCACACACCAGGTCAGCACCGCCCAGCCTGGCCCTGGAGGGGCTCTCCTGATGAGCCTTACTCCCGACGGCTCCCCTGGGCAGGCCATCCACTCGGTGGGCCCTGGAACACCCTGTCCCTCATGTGGTGGCGGCGCCCCAGTGCCCTCTCCCATCAGCTCAGTCAAGTCCTTACTTATCCCTCCCTCCTCCGAGCCCCCAGCCTCTGCTAGAGCACTGCTTCTCTACGTGGCAGCATACTAATGTCACCTAGGGACACTGAAAAGCTACCATGCCCAGGCTGCACCCCGGACAAATTCAGTCCGTCTCCAGAGAGGGACCCAGGCATGAGTCTTCTTGTTTTTTTAATTGTCCGGTGATTTCACTGTGCAGCCAAGGTGGAGAACCAGAGTGAATTAGCCTCTAATTTTTCTCTCACTGCTTCGCCCTGCTCAGGTTTGGGCCCCAGAGCTGGTTTCAGTTTCCAGGACAGAGTCATGACGTAGGTGATAGTAGGGGTGTCAGCCCCTGCTAGCGCCCAGCCAAGGCCCACTCAATTGTTGGAACCTTTAATGGCCTTCTCCTTCACCGCCTCCCCTGGCCGCCCGTTCAGCGTCTGTTCCTCAGTCTTGTGTCCTCTGCCCCAGGCTCCCCTGAGCTCATGTGCCTCCCGTTCCCCACCACCAGCCCCCACCCTCCAGCGGCCCTCCCTGTCCTGGGCCTTATTCCCTTCTCCCTGCCGGGAAGCCACATAGAGAACCTGCTGGACTCGTTGTGTTTCGCATGCGTGCCAGAATATCTGCGCGGCACTTTCCTGTGAACAGAAATCAAAGAGGGGGAATGATTTGGAAACTAATTATCTGCTGATACGGGGTTTGATTCAATAAATCATGAATCGCAGTGCAACGGAAGAGTATAAGACAATCAAGATATCATGAGGAGTTTTTAGAGTCCTGGCGTATGATGTTAAAGGAAATAAGCATAAGGCAGTACCACATACAGTGTGGGCTAGGTCTGTTTTTGATAGTGCTTGTCTCAGTGTGGCAAGATTGTAGTCGACTTTCTTGTGTTGTAATTTTATGTTTTTCTTAAAACAAGTGTACATTGAGCATGTACCACTTTTTTCATAGAGAAACAGCGATTTAAAAATTAATTAGGGAGATATTAATATCGGATGATGACTTTGGGCATCGATTTAAGTGCATCATGGGGAATTTTGATGTCAGACAGTATGGAGCTGGTGGAGGCAAGTCCCGGGGTATGACCAGGAGGGGAACCTTTAAGGAAAATAAGATTCTCTTAAAGGGAAGGCCCCCCCAGAGGGTCAGGCCAGTGATGTGGCACTCAAGAGGCCCGCCTAACTGTGGGGATGTTGGCCTGTGCCCAGGCTGTGCTGAGCCAGCCGGCAGGGGGTTGCCATTTGGGAACCTTGTACTGACACTGGGTGCTGATCGGCTCCCCATCATCTCCGAACACCACTGACGCTTTTCTTTGTTCTGTCTCTGCAGATAGTTAACCTTTGGTTATACTTACCTTGCCCTGATGAGTTCGTTGAATAATTATTCATTTACCCGGTGCTAGAATAAAGTCACTTACTGTGATCCCAGGTGTCATGTAATGCTTTGTCCCAAGCAGTGATTTGTGCTTGGTTTTGCATATTCCACTCAAGGAAGCAGATTGCACACAGCACCTGCCCGCTCATTAATAGAATAAAGCTGACCATCACACAGCCAGACACCTTATTTTTTTTTTAAGTTTATTTGTTTATTTTTGAGAGGTGGGGAGCAGAGAGGGAGGGAGGGAGAGAGAGAGTCCCAAGCAGGCTCTGCATTGTCAGCACAGAGACTGATGTGGAGCTTGATGCCATGAACTGTGAGATCGTGAGCTGAGCTGAAATCTAGAGTCCTGACGCTTAAACGACTGAGCCACCCAGGCTCCCCAGACCGCTTATTAAAACTATCAACCAAAGAGCTCTCCCCGAAATAAGGAGGAAAAAAACCCACACGCAATTTTTATCTTTTCTGTTCTGAGCCGGCATATTTGCAGTTATAGTAGTTAGGGTGCTTTCAGCCGAGAATAAAGAATATCTAATTAAAATTGGCTAGAATATGGGGCGCCTGGGTGGCTCAGTCGGTTGGGCATCCAGCGTTGGCTCGGGTCATGATCTCACGGTTCGTGGGTTCGAGCCCCACGTCGGGGTCTGTGCTGATGGCTCAGAGCCTGGAGCCTGCTTCAAATTCTGTGTCTCCCTCGCTCTCTGCTCACACTCTGTTTCTTTCTCTCTCAAAAATAAACCAACATTAAAACATAATAATAAATAAAATTGGCTGAAATAAGTGCACCTGGGTGGCTTGGTCATTTAAGCATCTGACTTCAGCTCAGGTCATGATCTTGCCATTACTGAGTTCGAGCCCCGCGTCGGGCTCATTGCTGACAGCTCAGAGCCTGGAACCTGTTTTATATTCTCTGTCTCCCTTTCTCTCTGCCCCTCCCTGACCCGTGCTCTGTTTCTCTCTCTCTCAAAAATAAATAAACATTAAAAAATTTTGAAAAACAAAAATAAAAAAATGAAGTTGGCTGGTAGAACAGAGGGTTATTAATTTCACATAGCAAGAAGTCCAGGCACTCGATGATTGCAGGATTCGTGGGTGGCTCATCAGGGTTGCCAGTCATCCAACATTTCTCTTTTCTTCTGCTCTGCCATCCTCAAGAACTCCAAGAGCGTTGGCCCTGCTTCCCTCATGGCCGTAAGATGGCTGTCACAGCTCCAGGCATCCTATCCATGCACAGTAGCACCCCGAGCAGGAAAGAAGAAAGGGCAACGATACGAATGGCCTTCTCCTCATTTGCCTCTCCCAACAGAGAGAAATTGTCTTTCCCAGACACTGTCAGCAGACCTCCCTTTATCCCTCAGTGATCGAAATTGGGGTACGTGGCAGCCTCTAGACCAATCACAGGCAAAAAGGAGCAGGGTTGCCATCATTGGCATACACCAAACGTGGTTCAGCTCAGGAGCTGAGCACGTTGTCCCGAAACAAAGCCGGGGCTCCATTAAAAGGAGAGTGAAGAATGGTTTGGGAAGGCAGTGCCTGGCATGGCACGTGAAACACAATCTACTTGGCGGCAGGGGTGGCGTTGCCCCAGTCACAAGCGATAATGGGCCTCAGTGTCGGCCCCTTTCTGCCAGCCATTCCTTTGTGCATCACATAACACGCATCTCCACTTGATCTGTAAACCCCCCAGAACTAGATAGAATGTGTGATCCCTTAGCCCAATTTGTTGAAGATGGCAAAGGCCTTCCTTTGGACACCTGCCAGATGCAGTTATAATCTGGCTGAAATGTTTCTGTATTCCTCCGAGACCTCCATCAGCGAGATGTAAGCTCCCTGAGGGCAGGGTCCTTTCTGCCACGCTCACTGGCATAGCCTGGTATCTAGCCCCCACGTGTGGCACAGAGTAACCGCTCAGTCATAACGGAGTGAGTGAGTGAGCAGACCGATGACTGAAGATCATGTCTCCATTGAGTGATGCCTCTTGAAGCAGAATGGTGCCGGGCTCTGGGAGTTGTCTGGAGAAGCAGAAGCTTGCTGTCTACCTCCAGGGAGTTTGTAGTAACGTCAGGGTGGAAGCTGATGGCCAGGCTGTGGTAGTACAACCAGAACGGGAGCCTGCCCTCTCTCCTCTTGGGGAATCAGTGATGAGCGTTCACTTGTCCATGGGTATTGTACCTTGTGCTAACTGCCTTTTGTGTTAAGACTACGAGGCTGTTTTATCTACCAAAATGAACTTACATTAGTGGAGGAAAGAGGATTCCTCCTTTGCCTTTCTTTCTGTAGCTTTTAAAGACCTACCACATTTATTGGATGACAAGAGGATGGGAATCGTCTTCATAAATGGTGAGGTGCATTCCAGATGGAAAGGATGAGTATTAAGGAGAAGAGGTGCCTGTGGCCTGTTATGAGAACCTACCCTCACTCCTATTATTGCTCTTAAAACTCTGTTTTCCTTTTGTTTTAGACCTAGAAGGTTTTGACTCTGTGGTATCATCTACTGAGAAACTCAGTCACCCAACCACAAGCAGACCAAAAGCTACGGGGAGGCGGCCTCCGTCTCAATCCCTCACATCCGTAAGTGTCTCCTTGCTTCTTCTATGGCTACAAAGCAGGTCAGGTTAGAGACTCCGGCCAAGGACTCCCGCAAGTGGCTGATAGGAGGACGAGCCAGGAGAGGGAGGTCATGAGATACACCGCTGAGCAAAAGTGATTTGAGCGTCTTCTGGAATCAAGCAGTATTCCTTTCTCCTTGTTCTTCGCGTATCTGCCACTGAGGTGGGTACTGCCTAGTCCCACTCTCCTTTTCTCTCCTTCCGGGTTGATCTCTCTTTGAACCTGAAATGCAATTGGTAAGAAAGAAAATGTCCTGTTTTGGGGTGGAAGAGGAGAGTGAGACTAGTCTGGTCTATAAACAGAACCTTGCTAAAGAGCGACCTGCCGCTGTCCAACGCTCGGCAGCGGCCAAGCTTTTTTCTCCCAAAGCCCCATTATTGGCACCCCTTCACGGAACCGCACACACACCTTTAGGAGGGTGTTTTGTAAACATACGAGGCACCTGGTCATGTAGTAGAGACCAGTTAGAACGTTCCAGATAACCTACAGACGTTTTTTGTTTGGGTCATTTTGAATAACTTCTTTTCTTACTGGAAACCTGTAACACAGTTGTTGTACCAAATTTCGACAATGAAATGCATAAAGAAGAAAGTAAGATACCTGTAACCTGCTTTCCAGAGCTAAGAACCGTTAACCGCTTAGTGTATATCTGTAGTTTTTATTTAAACTTCTGTCTGTGCATCTAACCTTATGTCTTCAGAATGGGATCACACAGCACATGGTTTTTTGGAACTTGCTCTCCCCCCTTATATGGTGTACCCTTCTCCCCAGTCATTACCCATTCTACCATGACATCACATTTAATGGCTGCCTAGTGTTCCAACCTGTGAATATATGAGTTTATCTAGTCCATGCACGATTATTGGACATTTATGTTGTTTCCACTTCTTCATTATAAACACTGAAGTGAATGTCATTGGAGAAAATATCTTGATGCTTCCACAAGCGATGTGCGTATGTATATCTACCTACCCATCTATCTTCTTTCTTTCCTTCTCTTTTTCTTTCTCTCTCTCTCTCTCTCTCTCTCTCTCTCTCTCTACCTCTGTATATCACATTGTCTTGTCCTTGATGGGAATGCAGGTCTAAGACCTTATGACCTTCACCCAGATACGCCAAGGAATTAACCTTTTGCAGGCTTTCCAGAACACTTTCTACTTTCGCCTCGTCACTGATCCCACCTGAGAGGTCCTCATTTAGAAGAAAAAGAATGCCACTTCCTTTGAACCTCTTCTCTCATATCTGTTCAGTTTGGGAGGTGTGGTTTGAGTCATGCTATTTTGCCTCTTTGAATGAAACAAACCTAACTATGTATTGACACCTTTTTGGGAGAAAGACTCGACACAGTGGCTTACTTTTTCACTCTTTAGGTATATAGAGTACTGTGTCGCGACCATCTTTACTCTCTCCACACCCTCCCCAACGTGCCTCATATACACACAACCTATTTAATTGCTTCTGAGTATCTCAGAGTTTTGATCCTACCTCCCACATCTTCTCTATAAATCCTTCTTCAGTTTTGTTTTTTCCTACAAATTCTTCCCCACTTTTCAAGGTCTAGAGGGCCTCGAGGCATCCAGAATCAAATACAGAGAAAGTCAGTTTATCATCCACACCCCACCCTTGGTTCATACATCGCATGCCTGGAGGTTCATGTATATTTGGGGGACTGGGTAAAGGCACCTCATCTTCACTCCGCTTTTAGCCACCACCTTCATTCATTCGCTCATTCAACAAATATTTATAGGCATTTATCTCATGGGGACTCCGCTCTGAGCCGGGTACCAAGGCTGCGACTGGGAGCGAGACACACATGGGCCCTGCCCATGGGAAGCTTATGGCACAGTGACTCAAAGTTGGGCATTTTTATATGGAACAATTTTATTTGAAGGCTTGAAATAACAGGATACATTTATGCTTTAAAGAAGTATAATCACTCTCTTCCTTCGTTCCCATCCATCCCCACGTAGATGCGTACTTTGAATTCGTATTTGCTCTTCTTCCGCTTAGTACCTGTAGGTTTTTCATAGCAAAATGGGATCGTGGGTATGGACATATTCCTAACAGGCCGTTGGAAGGAATGATTGGGGAAATGCACCAGTCAGGATTCCCCAGCCCAGGGCCTCTCACCCTGCTCTGAGCTGATTTATGTTTATTGCATTCAAAGAGCAAGCTTTGGCTGACAGCTCATGAACTCTAGGTTACAGAGGAGGAAACTGGCTTTTTTTATTATTTTTATTTTTATTTATTTTTTTTTAAATTTTTTTTTCAACATTTATTTATTTTTGGGACAGAGAGAGACAGAGCATGAACGGGGGAGGGGCAGAGAGAGAGGGAGACACAGAATCGGAAACAGGCTCCAGGCTCTGAGCCATCAGCCCAGAGCCCGACGCGGGGCTCGAACTCACAGACCGCGAGATCGTGACCTGGCTGAAGTCGGACGCTTAACCGACTGCGCCACCCAGGCGCCCCTATTTTTATTTTTAATGTTTATTTATTTCTGAGACAGAGAGAGAGACAGAGTGTGAGCAGGGGAGGGGCCGAGAGAGAGACAGAAAGACACAGAATCTGAAGAGGCTCCAGGCTCTGAGCTGTCAGCACAGAGCCCGACGCGGGGCTCGAACTCACAAACCGTGAGATCATGACCTGAGCCGAAGTCGGACGCTCAACCGACTGAGCCACCCAGGCGCCCCGAAACTGGCTTTTTGAATAAGATCTCAGAATGAAAGGATATAGGCATTGCAAGGTGGTTAAGCAGTTAAGCTTAGATTAATAAGAAAGCTTAGTTCGGGGTGTTATTCTAGGTACTTGGATTTTCAGAGGAAACAAAGATTAACAAGTAAGACCTTTTCATTTTCAAACTTTGCTTACAAATCCCTAAATATATTAGTTTTCTGCCTTAGAAAATAGTCAACAGAAGAAGATAAACATGGCATGATGTAGGCATGATTTTTCAATAATGACACCAGTGATGATTCTAAATAGGACTGTTTTCCCACACTTAGCCACACTTCTGTGCTAAGTATGAGCACACCCAAAGAGATCTCTGGAAGATTCGTCGTTTAGAAAGATTCCTTGCCACAGGAACGCTTAGTTTCATTTGTTTGGTCCTAAAATTGGGAAATTCTAGCACAGTAATCATTTCTGTCCACGTGCACTCCAGTGAATTGGTTCACATTCATCCAGCTTTTTGACCTTCACAGTGAGGCAGAAAGGGTAGGAGTATTATCCCCGTGTTTTACCAAAAGATGCCGCCATTCTGTAAATGCACCTTAGCAAACATAGAATCCACCACGGATGTTGATTGTCCCTGGCGACGAGGGTGGAGATTTAGCAGTAGACGTCACGTTAGAGGTGAGCTTCCCCCCACACCCCCACCCCTTGCAGGCAGGGCTGTGTTCTGGGGCTGCGGAAATGTCACTCACTGGCCCCCGGGCCTGTGACCTCTTGCTCCCTGAAACAGTTTCCTCTCAGAAAAGTTCTTGTAGGCACTTCACTTCGCCTCAGATTTTGTGGTCCTGGAAAAGGATCCAGAGGGAATGAAGGAGAGGCAGCTTCGAGGCAGCTTCCTCTTGACTTGTGTGTCCCTTTGCACTGGACTGTCACCCTTGTGAGAGCAGGGACCGTGTCGGGAATGTCACCTAAGTTCGGTGTCAAGCTCAGTGCTCAACACACAGTAGCAGATGTTTACAGAAAGACGGGAGGCTCTGAAGGATGGAGGGAGCCGGAAAGGACGGAGATGCAGGCCCGCACGGGTGAAATGACCGGCGGCCATCAGTGGAAAGATCCCATGGAAAGATCCCTGCTGTAGGAAATCTTGCTTCTTAGTCCCAGTTCTGCCACTGTCTCTAGTGCACCAGATACAGCACACTTTCTGCCTCTCGAGGTTATAATGAGGAGAGAAACAAAGTAGAAGTGTCGAGCGCTTTGAAAAGCATACAACATTATGTGAACAAAAGCTATGTCAGCTAAGGTGTAATTCTGACAAAAGCATTTTCTTTTGGCTTTATCCAGTCTTCCCTTTCAAGCCCTGATATCTTTGACTCCCCAAGTCCCGAAGAAGATAAAGAGGAACACGTTTCACTTGCACACAGAGGAGTGGAAGCATCAAAGAAAACTTCAAAGACTGTTACCATATCCCAAGTGAGTGACCAGCCATGGCAAGGGATCCCTGCCTTTCCGTGTACGCTCTGACGAGGAGTTCTAACCCAGACGAGGATAAACGGGAGTCTTAGTCCGTTCAGGCTGCTGTAACAGAGTGGCATTGATGGGGGGCTTAGAAGCGGCAGGCAGTTAGGTCTTAGCTCTGGAGGCCGGCATTCCGAGATCAGGGTGCCGGCGTGGCCGGTTCCGGTGACGGTGGGTTGCAGACAGCTGACTTCTCGTTGTCTCCTCACGTGGTAGAAACTAGGGTGAGGAGCTGTCTGAGGTCTTTTTTCTAAGGGCACTAATTGCATTCCTGAGGCACCACGCTTATGACCTTCACACTTCCCGAGGCCCTGCCTCCTAATATCCCAACTCAGGGCTAGGATTTCCACATACGAGTGGCAGGGGTGGGGCGTGCAGGACACAAACATTTAGTCCGTTGCCACAGACCATGCGAGTTTTTGTCATTCTTCAGTAACAGTTATTACTTTAGTCATCAAAACCCCAGACGCGTGTTTTTAAAAAGTCCCTCAAACTGGGCGGAATGTCTGAGATGCAAGGTTAGTTGTGGCTTTTTCATGTTTTCTCTTGTGGTTTGATCTCCTCGGCATACCGTCAGCCACACACAAGCACACGCCCTCACGCACCATTGCCGCTGTCACCGTCCACACCACCACCACCACCACCACCACCACCGCCGAAGCAGCTTCAGGAGCCCAGCGGTGTGGCAAAGAGCACATGAGGTACATTCAGTGCCGTGCGCTCTGCCCACAGATCTTGGCTTTTGTGTTCAAAACCGATGATATCACAGGTTATGTTTGGCAGCACGTGGCTTTCAAGAACTAAAGCGAGTCCCTTAAAGAAAAGCTGATTTGGATTCATTTATTACGATCAACCGATAGTCTAAAAACATTTTGGTTTCACTGCATGCCCAGGGAATGGAATAGCAGCGTTCAGCTACTGCGCGCGGCTTTTGAAGGATACCCTGTACTAGTCCTGTTCAGCCTAAGAATGTGTTTTCTCGTGCTAAGAGAACCCAGTCAGTTGGAATTATTTTCCATAAACATTAGCAACTGCTTTCTAACAGCAGAACACTATACCCGCTTTTTTAAGGCACTTTTTTAAGCAGGAGCGAACACAAAGAAATCACAGGGTATGTAGGCTTTTCCTTCTCACAGATTTAAGAATTTACACATACGTCTAGATTTTCCTAAAAACCTGGTCTAGTAAGCAAAAATATGATCCTATAAAACACACCAATTGTAGTTAGTCACAAAACTAAAGCAGTCTTCCTTTATGAAAGGATTCCATTTGCAGAAACTGGATTTAGACCCGCTTTTTCCCATAGCTGCGCTCTGGCTGACATCCCCGGGGTGTCTCTGTAGTGACATCTACTGGTGGGCAGAGGCTCTTCATGTTTCTGATTTACACGGTCCCACCCCATTAGCCCCTGTCCCTTCCTGGGGGTTGTCGGGTCACGTTGTTTATTGCTTCTATACGTGAACTACCTTGGTCAGGGTGCATAGTGGCCGAAACTCTTGTCAGAGCTTGAAAGGCTATTTGCCGGCTGCAGTGGGCTGGGAGAGAAAGTTACGTAGGAAATACTAAAAAAAGCATCGCTTGAAGAGTTGCCTGAAAGTCAGTCTGTGAGGAAATCGGTAGGTTGGAGGAGGTATGTGACAATGCAGAGCGGGAAGTGGGGAAAAGCATGAACCCAGGAATAGGAAAGAAGCAAAGAAAATAATGACAGGAGAGCGTGAATCTTCAGGCTCAGGCAGTCATGGTACGGGGCTTGAGGGTCCAGCCGGCAGAGGAGAGGATTGAAGCCCGGTTCTGCCCGTTATTAGCTGTGAGCTTGGGGGATTTCTCAACCACATCCCTAAGCTTCCGTTTCCTGCTCAGTCGAAAGTGGGTGCCAACTGATCCTCGTTTCCATTATCTAGCGACGTCCGGCACGTGACCAGTGCTGCATAAATGTCAGTCCCTCTTCCCTCTTACTCTAACTCCTACAGCAATAAGCACGGGATGGCAGATCGCTCTCCCTGGCAGCAGAAAGTGCTTTTCCTCAATGGTAACTTGGCAGAGAAAAGGCGGGCGGGGAGGCTGGGAATGATGGCCCATCTGCTTCTGGCTCGCTCTGCCCAGTCTCTCTCTCTAGCACAGCCGGAATCCACGCTCTCCCTCCTCACCATGCCAGCCAGGCCCCTTCTTGGCTCTTGCCCTGGGCACCTGCTGCTGGAAGAGTCCCAGCTGCGTTGCCAAGCTTTACCACCGGCCTCAACTTCCCCGTCACTCACCCCCTCGCCTCCCAGCGCCCTGTCTGCTGCTTGCCCTCCCCCCAACCTGCCTTGGGCCTCAGGATCTCACTTTCCCTCGCTGCCGCTTCCTCCCCTGGGTGGCCCGATGCCCCTTTGCCCTCCCGCCCATGACTGTCCCACTGCCTGTGCCCTCCCGGCCTCCTCCTCGGGGCACTCCTCCATCAGGCCGGCCCGGTCTGTCTCCACTGTCTTCGGCCTGGCCCGTCATTGGTCTTTTCCTTAGGATATTATCCGGCTCAGCATCTCCCCCTTCTTTGAAAGCAAACAGAACCGTTACATCATTCCGTCTCCTCCTGAAGCTTCTCCATTGAACACTTTCTCTTTCTCCCACCTTCCATCTTCAGGCGGGTTTCTGGAAAGAGGGTTCTACACTTGCAGGCCACACCCCTCACCTCCTGTTCAGGTGCTGACCCGCCATGATCAGTCTTCAGTCTCCTTTGTTCCACCAAATGCCCCCCAGCCCCCGTTTTCCTCTCAGCACCTTTGATGCACTTATCCAACCCTTTTTCCTTCTGGAAACCCCTCAGGGGACCTCCGTAACCCACACCTCTCTTCTGGTCTTGCTGTGTCCCATCGCTCACCACTCTGCCCCAGTCCCCAAGGGGTGTCCTTTCTCTCCCCACCTCTTCATGTTAGGGAGTCCCCAGGCCCCATCATCGGGCCTCTTCTCTCCTAATTCTGTGCTATTCACCCCCATGGCACCACTTCCTCAGGTGATTTCTCTGGCCCAGCTCACTTTTTCATGCCTTCCTCTGCCCACTGGGCATGTCCCCTTGGCTATCCGTCGGGCTCCTGAAACTCAGTGTGTCAGAAGTGAAACTTTTCTGGGCCTTCACGCTGTTCCTCCTGCCACAAAGGGTACAGCCTCCATGCCTGCTTCCTCCGTCCCCACCTGTGACCCTGTAGCTGGTCCGGAACCACAGCCGCCCACGGCGCGTCTACTCCCTGAGGCCGGGCGCCGCATCTCTTGGTTGGTTGAGCCTGCCTCCGCTGCGTCTCTCAGAGCTGTCCTCTCTCTTTTCCCTTGGCTGCTGTCTGTCAACCCTCCCCCTCCCCGTTCCTAGCTTTCGTTGTACGTGACTCTCCCAGCCGTGCCTTCGCCCTCCTGACCTGCCAACCTCTAGGCCTTTCTACAGCCATTGTCATCGTTAGCTCTGTGCCGGATGTTTTTAACCCCCTCCGCCAGCCCGCTCTATCTCCCCGGCCTGAGCCCCGTCCCCAGCGCCATCCTGGCTGCCGAGTGACCGCTTGCCGTGAATGTGTCTCACTCCCCGGTCTCTGTGCCTTTGCCGAGCCCATTCCCTCCTCCTAGAACCTTTCTTTCCAGTCACCCTTCCTCTTCCGGCCGCCTCCTAGTCCTCCTCCTCCAGGATGGGGCCGTCAGCAGCTCCCCGATACCTTCCCTCCCGAATGGCCGGTCCCTTTGGCGTACTTGCGCAGCTCTGTGTCTTACCTCCCTGTGTGCGGACTCCCCCGCATCTGCAGTGTGTCGGCTTGTCTGTCTGCACTGTGCTGTGTTCTGAGCTCTTGGGAGCTGGGAACGTGTTTTGCTCGCTTCGGAGTTCGCAGAGCCTAGCAAGCAGGCAGGCCTCCGGACTTGCACGCTAAACCGGTTAGGAACTACCTGTCCAGAAGGGTGGTCGAAGTTAAAGCACACAGGGGGAGGCACGTGAAGGGGGGATGCCTGTGCCAAGTCGGCCCTTGGGGTCTTGTGGATGACGGGGTGTGACGAGTGTGTCTTGGGAGGTGGGGACGGGGATGTGGGGGGGGGGGGACTTTACTCAGCACGAATCCCCCGCCTGAATCCTCTCTGCCTTCCCTTGTCATAGGTGTCAGACAACAAAGCGTCCCTGCCGCCCAAGCCAGGGACCATGGCTGCAGGTGGTGGTGGCGGGCCAGCCTCTCTGTCCTCGGCAACATCCTCCCCCCTGTCATCCTCTTTGGGAACAGCCGGACACAGAGCCAACTCCCCGTCTCTGTTTGGCTCGGAAGGAAAACCAAAGACGGAGCCTGCGGCCAGCAGCCAGGCGGCCGTGGAGGAGCTAAGGACGCAGGTCCGCGAGCTGAGGAGCATCATCGAGACTATGAAGGACCAGCAGAAGTGAGTGTCGGGCCCTTCTCTGGCCACCCCGCAGGTTGCTCTCTGCTGGGCCACGGCCTCGTTCCGCAAGCCTGGGTCCCTGCCTGCCTCGGCACGCGGCCTGCTTCCCCAGGGTGGTGGCAGCAGGGGTGAGTTGGGTTTGAACCTGAGAGGCTTCGCTCCCCTCAGCTTCTTGCGTAAACCGGATCCGCTGCACGCAGGGACGGCGGGCCGCTGAAAAGGAAGATCTTTAAATCCCCACAAGATGAAGTATGCACGTGTACCACTTTGTAACGAGCCCAACAGCCAGCTTTTCTTCTAGCACCAGAAAACTGGCCGTTTCTTCAGTGAGCTGTCTGACGAAGTACTCGGCTTGCGTTTAGGGGCTGTCATGGGTGACAGAGATGTGGGGGATCTTTAGACCCAAGACCTTACGCTTCACAAGATGTTCTGCTTGTGAGACTCGGGGCTCTCTCCGTGCGTGCCTACACACGCTCTCCACACCCCTGGTCCTCACGGAGCACTTAGATGCGGAGAAAGGCCCATAAGCGAAAATAAATTGCACACATAAACATTACCCAGGGCGCTGTATGCGGTGACAAAGACAGTAAAGAGGTTAGACGCCGCGAGGTCCTTACCTGAGTAAACTGACGCTCGGAGTTTAGGGATCTCTTAGCTCTTTCTTGGGGGAAATGGGGCAGCGGGGGGCATCTATGGAGGTGTTTCCCAAAGAGGAGTTTTTAAAAATAATTTTTTTTATATTTTCAAAATTTATTTTGAGATACAGTGCAAGCAGGGGAGGGGCAGAGAGAGAGGGCGAGGGAGAGAATCTCTCACCAGAGAGCCCAACTCAGGGCTTGAACTCACGAACCCTGAGATCACGATCTGAGCCGGAGTCGGACGCTTCACCAACCGAGCCACCCAGGCGCCCCTGAATGGGCTTTTGAAAGACGATCTAGGGTCACCAAGAGCAGAGCAGTCCAGCGGACAGAGCAGCACGGGTGGGCTCGCGGGCACACGGAGCAGCCTGGTGGCTGGCGAGTCGGCGCATCCCTGCAGGCGCCTGGCCTTCTGGGTGGGAGGTGCCGGGGCAGTGGCGGGCGGTGGGCCGGAGACCCACGGTCATGCCCTGGGAGCACCTCTGCAGCTGGCAGAAGCCTGGCATGCCAGATGGCCCTGATGTGTGTTGTGGCCAGATACTTGGGGGATTTGGGGTTAAACACAGTGACTGCTTCTCTAAAGGACTACTCCCAGCCTTTGCTGGACATCAGGAAGACGGAGAGGATGGTATGCTAGTTTTCTGAAACGTACCTAATCTCAGAACCCCTTTTCTCTAGAGCACCCTAGGACAAGGGTTACGAGGGACTTACTCGGAGCGTTGCGGCTCCGTTCAGGTTCTGTTCCGCTCCAGCTGGGAGGTGTCGTATGACATTGGGGTCCCCCGGTCTTACCCCTTCCCTGGAAGGTATCCATCAAATAACTCTGCCGACTCAACCGGCTGGATCTAGAGAGGGTGTCTCAGGGCCAGCCGGGCTGCCTCCAGTTCTGTAAAGTCCCTATCTCCTATCCGATTCTGTGGGTTACAGGTTTAGGTAACCAACCACCAGCCCCGTCCGTGTCCGGGTGACGTGTGTCTCCTGCCTAGAGAGGGACCCCACGGCCCCAGTACATCCCAGAGCGCTGGTCCTCAGCCTTCTGAAGAAGACCATCACTGAGTCGGGCTGGCCCGGATCCAAGGCTTCAGCCCTTGGGGCCGCTGATTGGGGCCTGGAGGATCAGAAATGGCCTGCGCCTGCCTCACAGTGAAGACCCGCCAGCGCTTCAGGGCCTCCCCCTCCCCCCAGCCCGCCCCATGTCCCTCCCCGCCGTGAGGCCCGGGCCCAGTTACCCAGTATTGTCCTTCCCCGGCCAATCTTGTTGAATCAACGGGTCACAGAGACCGCTCTCCAATGCCCGTCTCTGTCAGCCGTCGTCAGCCTGGCCTCCGTGCCCACGGCCATCGGGCCCCTAAAATCTCCTGTCTTCGTTCCACGTGTCCCTTTCAGCCTTCAGCTGAAGTCTGTGCTGACTCCCCTCATCCCCCAACATGCTGGTTCTTACGTCCCTGCTCCAGCGCCGACCCTTCCCCATCAATCTCCCGATCTCCCTTCCTCTTTGTGGACTCGGGCCCCCGTTTACTGGTTCAAGACTCAGTGCCTTTCTTCGCACTGGCTCCCCCAACCAACTCCTCCAATCTGCCAGACTCCAGGCTTTGCCTGCCGTCGTCTTCCTGGAGTCGCGCTGTCTGCTTAGGATCGCCGCTACTTCTTTCCTAAGCTCTGAGTAGTGCCCGCTGAGACAGAGGTGCATAGCGTGTGCTTGAGCAAACACAGCAATGAGTCACAACTGGTTAATGTCAGCGAACCCGGTGTGTCGGCGGCAGGGCCGGGACACCGACCAAGTATAGGGACCATCACTTGAAGTGAGCACACGCAGTGTAGCTTATACCTTATTTATTATGCTGTTTCTGCAGTCCTTGGTTTTTGATTTCCCAATCCAGTTTGTAAAAACATACGTGTTAGATGGAATGTTTGATCCCTTAAAATGGAGTACAGTTCTCTGACCAGAGCGGTGACGGTTGCCGTGTCCTAAATACAGAGTCTTGAATTTGCAAGATGATTAATTGTGTCCCACTTCATTATTTCATGTTGTAAAAGGCGTTAGACTGCATGTCCTAACTCGTGTCTACTTTCTCGATGACGTGATTACCATATCGTCAGTTCATCTGCCTTAACCCCAAGATCCCAGGTATTACTATTTGTAAGGTTTTGTGAGACTCATTGGAAACATAGGCAGTAGCCTTTTATTACTTTAAAACTCTGTGAAAAATAAGTATGTGGGGAGTGACAGAAATGTCTGCAGTGGAAATCATTATGTAAATACACTTAAAGACCAGTGATTCCATAACCAAGGGATCGTTAGAGGGAAGGCGACAGACAGAATCTCAGCCTGGATACCCGGAGTCTAAGGCCTCTGGCGAGTCCGTCCACCTCTCTGGCCTCGCCTTCCCCGTCTTCTCCTCTTAGGAGAAGCTTGGATTAAGGGATCTCAGAGGTCATTTCAGACCTCCTGTTGGACGGCTACACATCTGGGGAGCCCAGAGATAATAGCAAGCCTTTCTGTCTGCGGTAAATATCAAGCAATAACAATGCAAAGGAAACACAATGTTGTGTCCACGTTTTGTCTGTAAGAGGCTCAGATGAACTTTGTAATGGTAAGAGGCTTCTTATCTCTTATTGAGGAAGTCTGGGCTTTTGTTTCATTTCGTGGCCATTTGTTTTTCAGACGAGAGATTAAGCAGTTACTGTCAGAGTTGGATGAAGAGAAGAAAATCCGGCTTCGGTTGCAGGTGGGTCCCTCGGGGTCCTGCTCCCTCTTGAGAGGCTCAGTTCGGGTTGGGGGCAGCATCGGGGCTTCATTTTGAAAGTAAATGATTTTTAGTTCTCTGCAGATTTAGATGTGCGATCAAATCCTGTGGCGATTTTCTTGGAATTGGACAGGCTCATGTTCTCATCCTCTCCTGCGATCCAGGAAGTCTTAGGGAAGGGAGGCATTTACTAAATGTGCCCCTAGTTGGGTTTCTCATTTGGGGTTTATCTGAAACGTCTCTGTGAAAAGCTCCCTCCAATTTCCAAAGGCCTCATTAGAGTAACTGCCAGAGGGCATGGGGCTGGGGGGACCCCACTGCCAGCGGGCTTCTGTCATTGGAACTCCAAAGACCACAGCTGTCCGCACTCAGGACTTGCTTTCACCTCTTTACCTCTCACCGACGGCCGTGTCAGTCCTGCCAGGGCATCGGAGCCCTGTCCCCCTTCACCCTCCGAGCCAACCCAGCCGTTACCAAGTGGCAGAGGGTTGCAAAAGGCCGGAGGCAGACTTTCAGCTTTCGTCCAGTTGGTGTCCTTGGTGGTCACTGGGACCCAGGCTACTTACAGAAACGTTAGGGAACTGCTTCTCAGACAGTCTCCCCTCCCCCCCGCCCCCGGGCCCAACCGGAGCTGCCTTCCAACACTGCTAGGTGGTCCAGCACGTCTGGACAGCCTGCTCTGCCCTCCGGCCAGGACACTGCAATTACTGCCCCTTCTGACAAGTGGTGGTTCCTGGCAGCCCAAGAATGAAAACATCCACCGTTTGCTAGCGCACCGCATCTGTGCGCCTGCTTCTTAGGTTTATGTCATTTCTGGCATCGTCGTCAACTCGTCGTTCAGAGGTCATTTTACCCGTTTCACCTTTAAAAGTGTCACGTTGATTATTTTCTTTGTCGACCAGGTTGATTATCTTTGAGCTTCTCTCACACCGGCGAATTCATTATGATTTTGTTCGGCTCTTGTTTTTCCTTTATAGATGGAAGTTAATGACATAAAGAAAGCTCTTCAATCAAAATGAATACTTGATAAATGAAATGTCACGTTATTCATCCTGAGTCCGAGACTCAAATTTTCTGCCCCAGCCAAAATAACCTTGTGCCAAAAGATTAAAGGTTTGCCTCAACATGTCCCTGTTTGCAAGATTAGCACAAAAGTCTTGATAGCACAACACAAATTCCATCCAAGAGGAGACTCTTTCCCATGGTATAATCCTGGGCATGGCACTGGTTGTGACTTAGAGCAAATTGTGCTAAAGGCTTTTTTTACTATGAGATCTCATGCGAAACGAAAACTCAGGCAGTTTAGTCCATAGTGGTACTATTTTGATGATATTTTCCATTAATAAAATGTAATTTCAGATTATTCGTTTACAAGCTTTATAATTTTATGATTTTTTTAATCGTGTTTTGTCACAGATTCCCCCAGTGTTTGTATTCCACATCGTCCAGAGCGAGTGTTCCATGCTTTTGCTTTGGGCAGAAAGCTGCCTCGCTTTGTGTCCCCTCTAGATTCTGTTACATATGCAATTTTAGGTCCGACCCGTCCCTTCCCCTGCCAGCCAACCCGCCACCCTAAGATAAATTTTAGCTTATATATGATGGTATATTTACAAAAAGAGAAAGAGAAAACCTGGTATTTGCAATGATCTGTGCCTTCTTTTTACCACCCTCTTGATTGGAGCTTTTGTGATGCAGCTACCATGATTCAAAAAACAAAACAAAAAAAAAAAAACAACCAAAAAACGAAAAAAAAAAAAACAAAAAACAAAAAACAACAACAAAAAAAACCCCACATTTTTTTAAAGCCACTTCTCAAAGTCCACTAGAGGCCACTGTCTTCAAAGCTTCTCTCACCTAGCCAAAGGTCCCAAGAGGAGACAGCTGTGAAGTTGGGTGTGCTCTGTGGTGCCAGCTGTGACGTTTAAGTTCTCCTAGTTGTAGGTGGTTCATGGAACTAGAAATGTCACCCCTGCTTGATTTTTCATCAGCCAAGTTAAACCCCTGCTTCCTGTCCTTTGCACCTTTTGCGTGAACAGAATATGCATTATGAAAGCAAAAATAAATAAACGTAAAATGCAATGAAAACAAGGGGGGGAAGTTGTGTTATTTCCTGCACTGGGTCATCCGTGTGTGCTGTTGTTGAAACTGTACTCACATGATGTCATTTGCCTTGTTCTCTTGTAACCCCTTCCTCAGGTCCAAGAGAATGGGGGCACGCTCTTGTTGAAGTGTGGCCATTGGATCTTTCTTGCATTTATGGAATTGCTTTTTCCGTCCCCAGGAAACTGGCGTTTGCTTGTCCGCTTTATCTCTGTGGCAAACGAACAGCTCAGCCTTAGACTGTGTAACTGTTTCCTCATCCTTAGCTGAAAATAAGGGGGCATACTGTATTGCAAGATTGTTTGGGGATGGGGGGTGGGGGGTGGTCCCTTAAGGGCCCCTGAAGACGTTTCTTGTGTTTCTAAAAAAGCTGCTTTGTCTATTTCCTGAGTTTTCGAGTGGAAGTACTAAACATTAATGGATTTGCACAACCACAAAGAATGAGAATTGATAACACGGAAGGAGTAATGCAAATAAGAAATCACCACATGTTCTCGATGATCAGAAGTATTACAAATAAATGTCTTTTTCTTCGTCTCTCCCTCCCCCCGCCTTCCTCTTGCCGACATACTCATCCTTGCTGCTTGAGGCTGCGACTTCCTCCAGAGTACTGTCCGTACGGAGCCCAGACACCCTGGCCTTCCGGGGCGGGGGCGCAATTAAGGGAAGGGAGCACATAGAGAAAGAAACCTCCCATCCTACATTCCCATGCCTGGACATATTGCCTTTTCAGCAGCCTTGCCCGCAGTGTGCTGGGGGCTGGGAGCACCAAGCTTCCAAGGGCGGCATAAAACATTCCTGAACCCCTTGACTCTTCTACGCATTTCTACATTAAACTTAACGCCTTGAGAGATTTCCCACCGCCTAATAGAAGAATGAGGATTGAATTCTTTGATGTTTGGATTTCTCCTTTACTCATCATGAAAATCCCTAATGATATAGTTTTATATGATGTGTACACAGAGTAGGATTGTTAACAAATTGAGAGGTTGGAGTGCCCTCGTGGGGCACTAGCAACCTGGAATGTAGAGAGCTCTCATCTTCCCCTCGCGGAAGCCACTGGCTTTCTTTGTACAAGGAGAGGGAGAAGTCATTCTAGAAGGAGGAGGTGGCACATTTAACGTCGTTACTGCCCCTTGGGCTAACCAGCAAGAGGATTCTACATTTTGGAACGGACGAGCCATTGCCTGAGCAGCCTCCATCTTTACTCTTCACAAAATGGACCTGTCAAGAATATTGAAAAGCTTGGAAGGATCGTTTTTGAAGAAATTCTTTTGCATTCAGCATGGACTCGACCAGCATCTATGGAGATTATTTTTTTGCTTCATTTTCTAAAATTGTATTTAGAAAAGTCTTAAGTATTGTGCTTTGTAAAGAAGATGATTAAAATGAAATTTTGTGAAAATATTTTTCTTCAAAGTTGTCATGGTCCAAGAGGAATGATTTCTTGGAATTCAAACCATTTTTCTCCATTTTACACTATTTGATTACTCTTAGAGAAACGTCTTTGGAAGACATATAGTACTCCTCACCCTACCTAATCTTTCCCAAGTGAACAGAAACAATCCATTAAAATCTGTGGCTGTGAAATCCAGTTTTACATTGTCCAATTTTGCATTCATATTTAGGCAGAAAATTCTAGTTAGCTCTACATTGTTTTTTAGTGTAAAAATCATTAAATTATCATTATTCGAATAACTGTGTAAAGCCACTTTTATTCATACACAGCCCTCTAGGCAACATACTCAAGTACATGATTTGTTCTCTCCCATAAAGATAGCCCGTATCTATCATGACGTGTGTCTTCAGTTACTAATGGCGGAGTTTTATTTCCTTTCATAACCAGCTCTTTGATGGGAAAACCACAGGGTGTGTAATCAATTGCTCACATTTGCCACAGTCTGTATTACAAACAATCCCCAGGACCCACGAAGCCCTTTGTATTGTAACCTGAGGTCACCCGGGTCTCTTTTTTGTATTAGATTAGGTTTTGGTTCTCTAGCTATTTTCGCACAAATTAATGTCAAGATGTTTTAGCACCAAGAGGGCTTGGTAAAAAAAATAAAAATACAAATAAAAAAAGCTTTTCTTTTCGGTTTAATACAAGGCTCATTGCAGTATCCAACAGAGGGAAGGAAGGCTTGGTGCTTATGACTTAAGCCTGGGGAAGAAGATGTCATTCCCAAAATTAGCTCTGATGAGGGAACACAGTGGCCAAGGCAGAGAAACTCTTTCCTGGTCAGAAATAAAAGTTTGTCAGTGGTGTAAGGACAGAGGGGAGGTCCTGTCTCTTATGGTGATGAACAGTTGGTGTCATTCCTAATTCTGTCCCTTGGGTCACTGAGGCTTGATTCCGAACACACGGAGCAGAAGGCAGCCCCTGAAACCAATGAGAATCTGTGAAGGAGATGCAGATCCCAGAGAGGTGGTTTCATTTCCTGGGTTTTTAACTGATCCCAAATTGGAGTGGCTCTGGGGGCAGCCTTTTCCTATAAATGACATGGTGTGGTCATCATGTGAATTTAGAGTTCACAGGAAAATGGGCTACTCCTTTTTTCTTGTTAGACCAATAGGTGATGAAATACTTCAACCATAGAGCAAGGTAACCTAGTAGGCTGTAGCTAGAGTTTTCTGAGGAGAAAAAAATGAAAAAAAAGAAGGGTTCAGTTCCTGGAAAACCAGCTTCATGGGGGGCACTTCTCTTTAAATGGCAACAAGTTTAATTAAATTGGGCAGATACAGCACTGTCATTTAAGTTGTGAATGCTTCCCTTCCCTCTTACCCCTATAGAATGTCACTAGTTCCTCCAAGAAACTAAGATATATAGTCAAGCTTTGAGCTCTTTGATGGGAGAGCGCCCTGGAAATGCAAAGCTTTATTATAGTTTTTATGCCTTAAAAAAAGAAAAGTTTAGGGGCACCTGGGTGGCTCAGTCAGGTAAGTGTCCGACTTCAGCTCAGGTCATGATCTCGCAGTTTGTGGGTGCGGGCCCCACGTCGGGCTCTGTGCTGACAGCTCAGAACCCGGAGCCTGCTTCGGATTCTGTGTCTCCTCCGCTCTTTGCCCCTCCCATGCTCATGCTTTGTCTCTGTTTCTCAATAATAAATAAATGTTAAGCAAAAATTTTAAGTTTAGAGGAATCTACAAACAAACTTTAAAAATGAGCAAGCTGAGGGGCGCCTGGGTGGCTCAGTTGGTTAAGCATCCGACTTGGGCTCAGGTCATGATCTCACGGTCCGTGGGTTCGAGCCCTGCGTCGGGCTCTGTGCTGACGGCTCAGAGCCTGGAGCCTGCTTCAGATTCTGTGTCTCCCTCTCTCTCTGACCCTCCCCTGTTCATGTTCTGTCTCTGTCTCAAAAATAAATAAAACATTAAAAAAAAATGAGCAAGCTGATAAGGCCATTCTGAAGCCAAACAGAAAAGCCAGGAAAATAGTAACATTTCCAAGGTTATTCCTCACCACAAACACACACACACACACACACACACACACACACACACACACAAAACACAGATATCTTAGGAGAAATGGACTGGATTCTCTCCAAGCTTCATTATTATTGCTTAGTCTGAATCTCCACCTGAGAGAACTGAGAACTTGGCTGGGGCAAATTAAACATGGATCAGGTGTTTATGATGCGCTGGACACCATAACAGGTGCTGAGTGCAATGTGGCCCCTGTCCTCATGAAGCTCAGACTGAGGGAAGTAGATGACAGGTAAGCAGGCAAGTCTTCCCCAGAACAAGACCATAACCACAGAGAGAAGTCCAGAGGCTTTAGAACTGCAGAGGAGAGGTGCCCAGTGGAGCCTTGAGAGTGGAGAGGACAGAGGAAGAGGGGTATTTTTGGTTAAAAACATTTTTTATACTCTAAAGCTGTGATGAACATCTCTGGGCATAAATCTACATCCACGGTTGGTTCTTTCTTCTTCTTCTTCTTCTTCTTCTTCTTCTTCTTCTTCTTCTTCTTTTACAGAAAGAAAGGGACAGAGCATGAGCTGGGGAGGGGCAGAGAGAGAGGGAGACACAGAATCTGAAGCAGGCTCCAGGCTGTGAGCTGTCAACACAGAGCCTGATGCAGGGCTTGAACTCGTGAACCTTGAGATCATGACCTGAGCCAAAGTCAGATGCTTAACCAGCTGAGCCACCCAGGCACCCCTATGTTTACATTTCTGATTTATCCTTAAGATAATTCCTAGAAGTGGAGTGTGAATATGAATTACCTGAGATTTTAGCAAGAATAATTTTTGCAAGCAACAAAA